TAAATGCCAACCTCTGCTTCAAAGCTTTCAGGGCTTCTACTCTCAACCACCTGGGCATACAACCTGATGAACTATAAAACCCATCAGGCCCCATAGCAGATGGGACTTATGCTCTGAGGCTTGCTGGGAAATGTAGTCTACTTGTCTCTTTCTGCTCCCCATGCTCTTTCTGCTCCCCATGCTCCTTGCTACCGTTTCTCACCACACATCACCTGACTTTGCCCACAAAGTTGTACCCATCCCGAGATAGGTCTGTGGGGTCCACGGAGATGACGTAATTCGAGGTTTTGCTCCTTTTTCTCTTTCGCCCAGCCAGTAGGAAGTGCTGTGGATGGGAGGACAGCACATCAGAATGGATTTCTGGCATCTGGCTCCAGTTAGGAGTCTAAAGATAAGAAAATGCAATGTCCCATAACCAAAAAGCAAGTGAGGACACAACAAGCATCCCAAGGGTTGCTGGGAGATGTGGTTCAGACTGAAGGAAGCTATTAGCTGTTCTCAAGCAGAGCTTCCCGTCTTAACATCTCCCCTGCATTCCTTCTGCCAGTGGGGCGGGGCTGGGGTTTGGTCCACATGGGGGAAAGCCTGACTGTGATGAGCAGAGCCTGGCTTTGGAGAATGGGGAAGAGCTTCACTTGCAACATTACAGCAGGATTTTGGTAGATGTTTCTTTCTTTTCTTTTTTTTTTTTGGAGACAGAGTCTCACTCTGTTGTCCTGGGATTAAGTGCCGTGGCATCATGATAACTCATAGCAACCACAAACTCCCTTGAGCTCAAGCAATCCTCCTACCTCAGCTTCCCAAGTAGCTGGGAATACTGACACCCGCCAAAATGCTCAGCTGATTTTTTCTATTTTGAGTAGAGATAAGGTCTTGCTCTTGCTTGGGCTGGCCTCAAACTTGTGAGCTCAAGCAATCCACCCATCTCAGCCTCCCAGAGTGCTAGAATTACAAGCATGAGCCACCTCGCCTGGCCAAAACTTTGGTAGGTGTTTCATCTGAGAAAAGTCGACCTGGGCTCTGTGTAGGGAAAATGTCTCATTCTCAGGGAGAAAGTACCCTGAGGAGAGGAGGCCACACTGAGAGGAAAGTGGCTGGGCTATGGAATAGAAAATCCATGAAGGGAAGGGGCTTTGTTCCTGGAGGCAGGGATTACCCCAGGATTGGCTGGAGCCTGACAGCAAAGAAGGCTTAGTAAGGCTGACTTGGACCCACAAAGAAAGGACCAGCAACCCACCTCCAGGAGACGTAGTAGATGGTGTTTTGGACCCTGAGAGGATATGGCCTAACTTTGAGAAAGACAGGCCCAACTAGAGTGCACACGGCTTGGTTATAGAATGGGTAAGGTAGTGCTACTGGGCTCTGTAAGGAAAGGATTCTAGTTCTGGTAAGGGCAGGGCTTGACATTGCAGTTGACAGATACTAGTTCTATAAGTTTGTGGGGCAGGGAGCCCAAATGGATTGGACCGCACCTTCCGGCCATTGCCCGCCTCCATGTAGAGATAGTAGGAGGGGAACATGTTTTTTTCTAATCCATGCTTATCACGACTAATGCGGCACTGCAACGTGATGCCCCGGATCACTGGCTGCAACACATATGCCTCCATGTCCTCACTCCGCTGTAAGCATGGGAAGCTGGGTGCCAGGTAAGCCATGCTGTCCACATTGCTGCTGCCCATGTCACCAAAGCCCTCCAGAGCCGTGGACATTTCCTGGTTGGTTGCTGCAAGGGCATTCATCTCTGTAAACTCCAACTCCTCTTTCTTCTCTTCCAGGTCTTCCACCTAGCCCATGCACCAAATTCAAAGTTGAGGGACATTCACATAAAACCAGATTAAAAATTAAAGAAAAACAAAATTGAGGTTACAGCCCCAGCTTTACCAACAACTGAGTGGCCATGCAGTGAGTGCATGGTTACACCCTCCCCCATCCATATTTTCTGCTTATTGTTCAAACATCTCAGTTAGTCCAGCCAGATAAGCTATCATCTGGGGGTTTTTTGTTTTTGTTTTTGCGATTAAAATGGTTTTATTCCACCTAGAGTACAGATGGGGTGAGATTCCTAACTAGGGAGAAATCCACCCCATCATTTGTTGATTGGCAAGCTCTATTCACTTTCTTCTGTAGCCATACCCACTCCACCTACTCATTGGAGAATTCCTTTGAGACCGCTGCCCATTCATCCAAACAGTGTTGATTTAGTCTAGATAATATAAGACAGCCCAAATCTACTCAAGGTGAAACTGTCTACTTTCACTACCACCAATGTGAGTGCTAATTGGCTCTTCCCCATCAATGCTCTGCTCCCCCCAAGATCATGGGCTACAATTTTATTTTATTTATTAATTGAGACAAGAGTCTTACTCTGTTGCCTGGGCTAGAGTGCTGTGGCCTACCTCACAGCAACCTCAGCCTCCTGAGTTCAAGTGATCCTCTTGCCTCAGCCTCCTGAGTAGCTGGGACTACAGGTGCCCACCATGACACCCAGCTAATTTTACTATTTTTTGTAGAGATTGGTTCTTACTCTGCTTAAGCTGGTCTACAACTCCTGAGCTCAAGCAATCCTCCTCCCTCAGTCCTCCAAACAATGAGGACTACGGGCATGAGCTACCATGCCTAGTTATGAGCTACATTTTAATGGTTATGCCCACATCAATTCAAATCCCGATTTGATAAATTACACTCACACAGAGCCTCTGCTAGCCCAATCACAATAGGCTTGTAGGTGGTTCCGTCCATCAAAAAAAGGCAATCTCTGTCTGGGCTGCAGAATTTTAGTCCCACCCTCCCCTGAGGTCATAGGTTGGCCCTATTCTTCCTACATTCTGACTAGGTGTGCCTCCTTCCACCAGGTGGGAGTTTCCAGGTCCCAGGTCACCATCCATTCCAGGGTTTGGTTCCAGGTAGGGCACCTCACATTCATCTGCAACATCCTGGGATTTAGTCTCCTCCTCCACATTGGCCCCTAAGTGGTAGAAGAAGGCCGGAACAGAGCTCAAGACACCTGGGCCACAGGAGTTTGGGACAAAATTGACAAAGTTATCAGTGCTAACTAGGGAAAGCTAGAACTTAGTCCTAAATCGTTACTCAGTGCCCTCACCTGCCACATCCTCCTCCTCCCCAAATGCATGGGAGTCTACAAGGCGTGAGGAGTTTCTGACTTCCCTGGGCCTAGAAACAGGGAGGGGTTAGTTTCCCTTTTTCTTTGTCTCATAGATAGCAAAGGAGAGACTAAGGAACTAAGAAGGGGGAGGTGGAATTTGGGGGTGATTAAGAGTTCTGTCATTGAAATCATTAGCCAGGTCATGAGAATAAAAGAAAATGTTACCACAATGGAATATTATAAGAGAATAAAAAGGAATAAAGTACTAGCAACACTGGATGAACCTCAAAAAACTTGCTAAGTAGGGCAGTGCCTGTGGTTCAAGGAGTAGGGCACCGGCCCCATATACTGGGGGTAGCGGGTTGGAGCCTGACTCCGGCCCAAATTGCAAAAACAAAACAAAACAAAACAAAAACAACTTGCTAAGTGCCAGGCATGGTGGCTCACACCTGTAATCCTAGCACTCTGAGAGGCTGAGGCAGGTGGATTGCTTGAGCTCGCGAGTCTGAGATCACCCTGAGCAAAAATCTCTTCTCTATTAAAAAAAGAAAAAAACTGAGGCAAGAGGACTGCTTGAGTGTAAGAATTGGAGGTTGCTGTGAGCTATGACAATGCCACAGCACTCTACCCAGGGTAACAGCTTGAGATTCTGTTTCACAAAAAAAAAAACTTGCTAAGTGAAAGAAGCCAAACTCAAAAGACCAAATATTGTATGAGTCCATTCATACAATCTTTCAATCTAGAAAGACAGAACTTAGATTAATGATTTCCAGGGGTTTAGGGGCAGGGAGAATAGAAAGGAGGCAACAGCCAAATGATTCAGGATTTCTTTGGGGGGAGGCAAAAATGTTCTAAAATTGTGGTGATGGTCACACAATTCTATTAATACAGGCCTGATCAGCCATCCACTGACCAAAAATATATGAGAAAGAATCATTTAAAAAATAACAAGGGGCTTGGCGCCTGTGGCTCAAGTGGCTAAGGCGCCAGCCACATACACCTAAGGTGGCGGGTTC